GTATCGATGGTATCGATGGTACTGATGGTACTGATGGTACCAATGGTATCGATGGTATCGATGGTACTGATGGTACTGATGGTATCGATGGTACTGATGGTACTGATGGTACCAACGGTATCGATGGTACCGGGTGGGAAATGTTCTTCCTCTATCAGATGTTCCCAGTCTACTGTGGTTCTGGTTCTGGGAGGCCCTCCTCATGGGGGGCAAACCTGGAACCTCCATCCAGGAGGATCATGTGACTGATGACGGAGCTGCCTTTGCTCCTCATTGGTTGGATGATCACCATCCTGAATCTAGAAGTTTGTTCAGAACGTTCTCCGTTTTCCTCCTTGTTCCAGGTTCTAGATCTCCAAACAAAGACTCTGCAGCTGCTGGTTTTCCGTACAGCAGAGCGTCAAAGATCTCCCAGGATTCCTTCGACTCCTCCAGCACCTCCTCCGGTGAATGCTACGAAAACGTGAACCCGAGCCACAAAGCCGACTTTGGTAGGTCTGAGCCGCTTCTCCCAGCAGAGGATTCATCAGCGTCCTCCTGGATCATCTTTTAAGATCAAATCTTTTCTTCTAGATGAATATTTCAATGTTTCTAAAGAAGCTTTTAAATTCTGTAATATTTTCATGTGTTGGTCTTATTCCCCTTTCTGTGGGGGCGTTCATAAAGCGCTGCAGTTTATAATGACTCCATTATTCCTATTAAACTTAGAACCGGGCCAGAACCAGGCAGCTTCCAGCCCTCCGCTGTACACCAACTCTGGGATTGGAGCAGGAGGACACGCGTTTTCAGGTAAAGGTCGGCGGGAGGCCACGCCCACCCAGCAGCACCTTCCTCCTGTCTAACATTTCTCTCTGCTGCCTGGACTCTAGATGATGATGATGATGATGGTGATTACTGCCCTGTGAGCCCAGACTGATGATGATGACGACGATGATGATGATGGAATGAGATGCTGGCCGCTCTCAGAAATGGAGGAAAAAAACAAACAAACTGCAGAAGCTTGAATCTACAGGTTTGACGTTAAACTGAGCTGTGAGTGAAAAACACTGAGGAGAAAAAACTTTATAAACTCCAGGATGCTGAGGGGAACAAAAGTCCGTTTGGACCTGAATCAAACTATCTGAATGCTGGAGGAGATCGTCAGTCTTCCAATAGTCATTCCAAAAAAGTTAAAAAACAAACCACTGGACTCTGTTTTCCAAGTCTGAAGACGTTTCGCTTCCCAAGATAGAGACTAGTTGATAGGGATTAATAACATAACTCTGTATTGTCCTAAAAATGAGACCAACACAGCACACAAGCAGGAAAGGAGAGCGACCAGACGCACTGAGAAGTCTGTGGTCAACTCTGCCGGGACGTCTCAATGGGCCAGTATCGGGTGTTGCTGGCCAATAACGACTCCCATTATCAACGGGGTGGAGCTGGTTTTCCAGTTTCAATCTGCTTGTTTTCTAATCCATTACAAGGCTTCTGTTTGGCTACTCTATAAAGCCTGGAACTCAACGCTAATCCAGACATTTGGAATTGAGAAAAATTCCAGGAAGGGAAGCGGAACGTCTTTAAACTTGGAAAACAAAGTCCAGTGGATAAACTAGCTGAAGCAAACTGATTACGCTCAGTCCGCCAGGAGGAGGAGGAGCTAATCATACTCAGTCATGATGAAATAAAAAGATCCAGTTTCAGAGACTCCAATCTGAACGGAAACAAACTCATGAATAAATCCTCCAGTCGTTTCCACAATCTGTCATTAGTTATTCAGCACAGATGGAGCCAGGATGGAAAACGGTGTCCATTTTTCCTAAATAAAGACTAGATTTTCATTAAACTCTTGGTCATAAATAAAAACTCTTATAATAATACATCTTTGCTGACAAAATGAATCATTTTTGGTTCTACATCATATCCACATTAAATAGGTTTTAATCAGTTACTCCTAGATGACTGGGAGACCTTACCTTCTCCCCATAAACCACAAAAATTTATCCCGAAAAACATAAACTCATTTTTTTCGCTTTATTGCACTGCAAAAACCATCTAGAAATAAGTAAAAAAATATCTTAAATTAAGTGTATTTACCCTTAATTTAAGCAGATAAATAAGATGATTTGCCAATGGAATGAATATTTTTACTCTTAAAATGAGATAATTAGTTAATATGCACTTGAAATAAGACAAAGCAAATTTTATTTTCTTATTTTAAAAGTAAATTGTCTAGTTCCATTGGCAAAGTATTCCACTTAACTCCTCATTTTAAGAAAAAATGCGCTTAATTCAAGTAAATATTACTCATTTAGATTTCCATTTTTTGCAGTGTGTTGGAAAAGCTTTATTGCTTTATGGTTAATAAAGGCTAATAACTCTTAAAATTGAAATTAGTCAGGAGCTTTCTACTGCTCCACCCTCTCTGTTAGAGGAGAACCATTGGTTCTAGAGACGGTGACTAACCTCCGCAAACGACGCATCACCTGATGAGTGGCGGGCCACCCTGTAGCTCCGCCCCTGTAGAAAGATGAATCTACTATGACGCTAAAAAGGAAATATAAAGTTTAAAGTTGAACTAAGAATAGAGCTAGAATGAAACAGAATGATGAAAAAGGGGTCCCTATGTCCTCCAGCAGTCTAAGCCTATAGCAGCAGAACTATAGAGATCCCTTTATATAGATAGAGATAAGCTTTTAGCTTCGTCTTAAAAGAAACTTTGCTGCCGGGGAAAACTTCTGAGAAACCTCATGACAGAACTTAATCAAAGCCGCAGAGCTGATTTAATTTACCTGTTAATGTTACATTTTTTAATGAAGTTAAAACTGTGAAAAAACACTTCTAATGTCAGCAGAACAAAGACAGAGGAAGCGGTTCAACAGCAGCCGTTATCTGGATGCTGCAGCTTCGTCACTCAGATGTGATGAATATCAGACCTGCTTGAAAATGCTACAGGAACAGAGTTATCAACCTGGGAAAGTCACCTGCAAGGAGAGCAAGACTTCTCATTCAGCTCCAGGTCCTCCCAGGTGGACGTCCCACCAAAATTCAGTCCAAGGTCAGAGTGTGAAGCTCAGAGGAATGACCCCACAGCTGCAACTCAGACTCTATAGCAGAGGTCANCAGAATGATGAAAAAGGGGTCCCTATGTCCTCCAGCAGTCTAAGCCTATAGCAGCAGAACTATAGAGATCCCTTTATATAGATAGAGATAAGCTTTTAGCTTCGTCTTAAAAGAAACTTTGCTGCCGGGGAAAACTTCTGAGAAACCTCATGACAGAACTTAATCAAAGCCGCAGAGCTGATTTAATTTACCTGTTAATGTTACATTTTTTAATGAAGTTAAAACTGTGAAAAAACACTTCTAATGTCAGCAGAACAAAGACAGAGGAAGCGGTTCAACAGCAGCCGTTATCTGGATGCTGCAGCTTCGTCACTCAGATGTGATGAATATCAGACCTGCTTGAAAATGCTACAGGAACAGAGTTATCAACCTGGGAAAGTCACCTGCAAGGAGAGCAAGACTTCTCATTCAGCTCCAGGTCCTCCCAGGTGGACGTCCCACCAAAATTCAGTCCAAGGTCAGAGTGTGAAGCTCAGAGGAATGACCCCACAGCTGCAACTCAGACTCTATAGCAGAGGTCAGGGATTAGTGGACCGCGATCCGGATCCGGATCCACCTGCTGGCTAATCCAGACCTAACCTGATTTAAAACATTTATAAAATACCGCATGTTGTACGATAACTGTGTCTAATTTCACTTGCTCCTCTTCTCCTGTTAATACGGTAAAGCCCTGGGGAGCGTCCGGCTCCAGGCTGCACGTGATCCAATGAGCCAATGAGCTGTCAGTCTGGGTTGCTGCTGCTGCTACTTTTAAGACTCATTAAGACAGAAAAAAGAGAAAATGAAAAACGCTCAGTTCAGGTGTTTTATTAAAAATGGGAATCAGGGAATTATCTATAAACCAAACTGAACGATTGTTGTTCTCTACTTCAAAAAACACTTTAGATTTTAAAATGGAAAAATTTTCTATTTTTTAATATTTTTTAGTTAGAATTTCAATGTATAACATGAAATGTTGAATAAAAACTTCATTTTACTTTAAGTGTTAAATTCTGTTTAAATTAATAGATTATAATTAAAAATGTCTCCTTTATTGGTTGATGATTTTCTTTATCCGACCTGCTGATTTTTAACTGGTTCCCCTGATCTAAAGCCTCAGTTAGGAGGTTCAACATTAGAGGTTGTGACCCTGAACCAGTCTGGCCCACTGAAGGGTTGAAAACAAGATTGCGGCTCAGTAACTGTCCAGCACGGTAGTGGAGGGAGGATGCTGAGGGCTTGTTTTCCACTGTGGCTTCATCTCTATTCATCAGATCATGACTTCATGGAATCTGTTGACCGTTTTAAGATTATTTTGGTTTAGAAACTTTATTTAAATGAAAACTTTGTACAGTTCTGCTCCTGGCTCTGGTCCAGCCCTCCCAATATGGAGGAAAATTCCCTGTGATGTTGAAGGTCGGTCTGACTGCTGATCTGTGAATGTCTCTGTCATTTAAAGCTTCATGTTCGTATCGTTATGATTTTCCCCTGATGTGCAGCTTGTGTGCAAACTACTGAGCTCAGCTGGTCTCCTTTGCTGTAATGATCCCTTCATCCGGCGTGTAAACACAATAAAAATAATCTCCTGTAACGTGTCAGGCTTTGTCTTTTATGGGTTCAGTTTCTGTGCTTTTATTCAACCATCATCCATGTTGTTTATAAACCGCCTGAGCAGGACTGATCGTCCCACCGAAGTTCTAAAAACAGGAATAAAAGGAAACCTGCTTTTTTTCTTTATTCCTTCACCTGCTGCAGCAGCTGAGCAACGTCGATCCGTAAATCTGCGCTTCAGAGGTAAGGGAGACACTTTGCCAATGGAATAATACTATATCTAAAGAATATTTACAGAATTTAAACTTCTGAAAGTTCTTTAAATC